TTTCTTTTCTTTTCTTTCTTCTTCTCTCTCTCTCTCTCTCTCTCTCTCTCTCTCTCTCTCTCTCTCTCCTTCTCGGAGGACGAACAACAAGGCTTGGAGAAAAACGATAGTGGAGCAAGTTGGTGAGGAAGGATCGCGTCCGTGCCGGCATCGAAATCTCCGAGTTTTCGGCGCTCCGTTTACGAAACGTTCGTTCGCGAATTCTTTGAAAGAAAGAATGAATTTTGAACGCGAGTCGACTCGGGATAGAAACGCGTGTGGGACGAAATAGGTTTGGGAACCACTGGAGGAGGAGATGGAGGAGGCAGAGACACGCACGTGCACGTGAGCGCGTGCACATACGCGCGCGCTTTCCATTGGGCATCGATCGAGCGAAGAAAGTGTCCGGTGTAACCCTGTAAGTGTTCGCGGCCAGTGAAAGTGTCGAGCGGCTCGAAGAAGAGGAGAGCCGTTCCGACTTTTCGTCGCGCGCCGTTCCTAGAACCCGAATGGCTTCGCCCTCCCACTCGCGCTTGCCTAACCTTTCCCATTTGAAAATAAAAAAAAAAAAAAAGAAAAATATCATTCCACGAGAATCGCGAAGTCGCTTTCGCGCGTGGCGTGTTTACACGCGTGTGTACGGCATATTTGAAATCGGAAAAAAAATAAAACGAATTAACGATCCTTCCAAGAATCCATGAAAACTTGAAAGATTATTTTCGCGTTATTTTCCCGTTCGTTTGAAAAAAAAATAAAATAAATAAATAAACGATTGTTCGAGCGATTAGCATATATCTTTGAGCTTTATTTGAGCGACGATAACGAAGGAAATTCCCTGTTTTGTCAATATTAGTCTTCTAGACAATGTCACGATCAGTGGATCGAAACGTTTCCGCACTCGTCTCTACGATGCTCCATCCGAAGGTCGTGCAAACCCAGTGGCGATAAAACTTGCATCCGGCAGAGCGAATCGACGACGATTCATCATCGTCGGATGTTGTGTAAATGAAAATCAAACACGTCGTGCGCGCGTGTACGAGGATTACACGTGACGTGGATGCATCGATCAGAGGATCGAACATCTTGGAAGATTACTCGCGCGAGGTCGTAGCACTCCTCGAGTGAAAGAGGCTCCGTCGAAAGCGAAGCATCGATCCTCCAATTCGAACGATTTTACCGATGTCCAGCAAATTTTCGAGCAAAATGCCCCATCGATCTCGCCGATTTTAAACGCGATCCGCGAATTGTTCGAGTGAAAACACAGATTTCGATTTCGTCCTTCTTTCTTTCAACATTTTTTTCTCGTTGTAAAGCAGAGAATATCGCAACTATTCGCGTTCGTATCGAATATAAATATTTTATCAATATCGAGGAGATAAATAACGAGGATAATCGATCGTCACCTTCCGATCTGAATTCCCTCGAACGAAGAAGAATCTTCGAAACGAACGAGAGGAATCGAATAACCGAGTGGAGTGGAATTGTTACGATCGATGCCGCCAAGTTCAAGAGATCGTAACAACGTTCCAAGAGTAGTATTCAGCGATGAGGATCGCGTCCGCAGTGTCAAGATTGTGATATCGCCCACGGCGAGGAGACGTGCAAATTCCAAAGTATCCAAGATGAACAGAGGTGTTGGTCGCATCGGCCGACTTACCTCGGATTTAAACTGCTCATCGGAAATTTGTGGATACGCGATGACCGAACCCACGCACATGGCTGTTGCCAAAATTACGATGATCTTCATCTTGCTCGTCTCTCTTCCCCTTTCTTTTCTTTCCCCTTCTTTCCTTTTTCTTTGCGTATCTGCGAAAAGAAAGGAACATAGTTTAGATGGAAGGAAAAGAAAAGCGCGACGTCCGTTCAATTCATTCGAATTCATTCGCTTGCAAATAATCGATCGAATCGGGAAGGGAGCGGAAATGGTTGGAAAGGATTCGCGAAGAGACACGGCGAGAAGGTGAAGGAGTTATATCTATATCGTGGAGGAGGGAGCGATAGCTCTCCTTTCTCGTATCCAGCCTCGAAACTATCACTTTCGACCAAATGAAAGTCGTGGAACGCCGCTGGCAATCTCAGATTCTTGTCGAAAGATGGTCTCGTCACGCGTCCCGTCACGAATTCGAGATCGATCGAGGAAACGATCGAACCACGCGTTGCAACTTTAATCATCAATTAAACGTTCGAAAAATGATTTATATTAATTTATCGTAGGAAATATTTTTTTTTATTGTTGCCATTATTATTATTATTATTATTACACCCGTGTCTCGACCCGTATGATATCGTTGCGCAATTGAATCGAAAATTGTAATGCAAGTGTCGCTAGATTCGACGCTTTATAATTGCAACGGCGAACAGGAGGAATGCAATGGTGGCCACACATCGAGGTAATATTAGATTCAACGCGCATACCGTCGCATACACCGATGGTGTAACAATGCGCGTTCGAGGTCGGCGAATTGGCAAATTTCGTTAATTAATTATCGACGAAACTTTTACGATCGATATTTCTATTATGAATAAAGCATGCACGGGTAATATGTGCGTAGAAAAGCTGGAATGACGAGGCAAAAAACGCGGAGCAGAGACACGTGCGTTTCACGGGATTGTCACGGTTCAATGGAAATATTAACGTATTTTCCTCAATCTGGAAAGTCGAGTCTCTCTCTCTCTCTCTCTCTCTCTCTCTGTATGTATATATACATATTGTTACTTATCACTTCACTTCAATATTTTCACTCTGAGGCAAAAAGTTTTTTTCGTGCACCTTGAGAAATTAATCGAGCGTTTCGACTTTGAATTGCTTCGATTAATTTTTCACGTGAACGAAGATATTTCAATCGATTTTTCCCCCCCTTCTTTTTCTTTTTCTTATCTTCAACGTTGAATCTGCTCCAAACTTCTCGATAATTTCCTCACTGAACACGTCAGGCCGTCACGTGGAGTGGCATTTCGCGCGAGTGTGAACATTGAATTGAAGAGAGAGAGAGAGAGAGAGAGAGAGAAGAAGAAGAAAGAAAAAAAGAGTTCACGACATCATGGACGAATCTCACGTTCGAGGGAGAAACTCACCACACACCGATTCGTAAATTGACACGATAGAACTTTTGAACTTGGGAAGAAAATCGAGAAGGAGCTCTCCGCGGCTCCTGCTCTCCTCGACTTTTCTGTGACTGTCTGTGTAACGGAGCTTAGTGAGCGGCTTTTATTAGAAGGAGGGGACTGGCGCTACCACCACGCTACACTTCGCTCTCCGACCTCTCCGTTCCTCTTTCTTTCAGCGGCGGGATCCTGAAGAAGGGGTCGTCCCCGAGCGTTGCTCGGATCGGTGCAAGATCCTCAGCGCGACCGTGAACATCCACGAGTCGGAAGTCGGATCGTCTTCTCCTTGATCTCGTCCAATCGTTCGGACGACGATTTTTATTTCGTTAATAATAAAAATTCTCGAACGAAGATTAGGCACGAATCGTCGAATTTTTTTGGGGGGAATCTTGTCACGGTTATCTTTTTCACAATCAGAGAAGATTTATCTTCGATTCAGGGCCAATGAATATTTACTATGAATTATGTCACGCGAAAAAACTACTCGGCACGTGTCGTTTATTTCCAATGTAAATATCGGACGTTTCACACCGTTCAAAGGCGAATCGTTTTCGTTTTCTCTCCCGCTATTGATTAAGAAAAAAACTAGTTTTCATTCGCTTTCTGCATCTTATTATAGCGACAACCTGTGTCGAAATTCTTTTTTTTTTTTTTTTTACATTTTTGATACAAGATACCACAGAAGAGGTATCTCTTAATTTTCGTTCACAATCGTTCATTCTTCCAGGAACGATTTATCTCTTCGATTTAATCGTTCGCTTTCCACTTTTGTAGCACAAACAAGAACGAAACTGTGAAAAGGAATAACAGCGTTCGATCGTTCGAAACGCGGATAGCGTTGGCCCCCGATCGAGAGAAGATCCTCAGTGAATTTCGCCCGTGCGTGGTCAGACATGCTCTTCTATCGCTGCTTACGAATACCAACAATTAGTTTGCACCTATTTTTTAGACTAAGAAAGAAAGTTTCCACCAATTATCGCGCCGTACGGTGATCCTCGAATAAATTTATCACTCCGCGATTTATTCTTTCCTTTTTTTCTTTTTTTTTTTGCGTGGAACACGACACTCGATTTAAATCGTGTCTCAGTGAAAATGTTATTACGATCTCGAAGGAAAGATCGATCCGCTCCCGTACAACCGCAAAACTATCCAAACGTTCCAAGTTATTGCCCGATTGTTTGTTCAACTAGAAACTCGAAACTTGAAATTTATAAAATTCCATAACATTTCGTTTACTTGTAAATTACGCCCGCGCGAATGCAGTTGCGTTACTTTTTACTTATCGTTTATTTTGAGCTGTTTTGAATTTTAGAAACTGACCTCGTATCGGTTCATTCATTACAAATCGAACGAGAGAGAGAGAGAGAGGAGGCGAGACACGCATCGCTAATTCTCTACAAAGAAATCGTCACGATCGATCGATCTCGGGGAGCGAGATATCTCTATCCATCTCTCTCCCCGCGTGTCCTCTCGTCGCTCGAGTTTGTCAAAAATTTGGTAACCGATGTCGAAACTCGCTCTTGCGCCAAGAGTTTCCTAATATTCTCGAAGAGAATAATTCAATTCACCGAGTTTTCATGTTAAAGACAGAATCAGTATCACGAAAAATTTCTATACTCTTTTCTCATTCGCGCTGATCCAGATATAGGTAGACGATTTTTCGAAAATTATTCTCGTCCACGATTTGTCGAAATTTATCGACGTGAAATTTTCTAGTAATTTTTATTAGATATTTCTTCGAAGAAAAAAAAAAGAAAAGAAAAGAAAAGGAGAACAAGTGTTCGTCGCAAGGCCGATACAGCAAGTTTGAGGAATTCTCCTTGGAAATTATGTACGAGCCCTTCGCGCGTAGTATTCCTCGTGACCTTGAATTTTATTTTATCAATCGCATAAAATTCAGGCAATCTGAAAAACATTATTAAAACTCCAAGCGAGTATTTTACCCGTTCTTTTTTTTTTTTTTTCAATCCTACTTTTACGACTTGAGGAGACACGCGAATAATTTGCGTTCGTTTGGCATTATAACGTCGTAAGTAACTTTATACGTATCCGAGGATTGCACGCCGTTGTTGAGATTTATTTTGTTACGCGTTTCCGCTTATTTACCGGCAATTCAAACGATAAAGAAGAAGAAAAAAACGAGGAAAAACAATCATCGTTTAATGGCGAAACCGAGAAATCTTTCAATCATGCTTAATTAATCAATTATGAGAACTAGAGTTAAAAAAAAGAAACGCGGATGATATAATTGCGAATCATTGTTTCTTGATAATAATAATAATAATAATAATAATAATAATAATAATAATTCGACTCGAGGTCGAATCGAATTTCAAGGAAAAAAAAAAAAAAAGAAAAATCTTCGCACGCGAGTATTCCGTTCTCGCGTTTTTTCGTCGTGGATAAATCGTAGAAAATTCCCATTATCTGTTGCTCAACGAACGATATGATATTCCAATAAAATTTTCATTCTCAACGGCGGCTCGTTAATAACTCATTCAATGGCATTTATTTATATAAAAAAAATATCTTGGAACTTTCGACGTTATGCAACGTTTTTACTTTCATCACGTGCACGATTTGATCCCGCTTTCGTAGAATCTCTTTCTAGAACAAGAATGATAATCGTTCTTCTCATCTCAGCTATTGCTCGCCCGAGGAAAATATCTTCGATTCCTGTTACGTTCGATCGAACGAGAGATCCGCTTGTTTCTCATTGAAACTTTGCCGTTGAGACGAGAAGGAAGAAAAAAAAAAAAACGATTATTCTCGAGTCTTGGAACGACTCAACATCAAATCGAACGTGAGATCATCGATCCCACATTGTATCGAACAAAATTCAATCCCCGATATTCCGAAATAACGGTCGGTTTCCGGCAGAGTTCCGGTTCGTTCGAGGAAACCACGATGGAAAATAAACGTTGGATCAGGTGGTGGAGTGCGGTGTGGTAAAGCAAAATTAAATTTTACTCGCGTTACCAGTTTTCCCTGAAAAATCCGCACGGTTACGATATAATATTCCAACGTCGCTTTACGAAGCTTTGCTTAGTTCCGATTCCCGCGTTCGCCATTCCCGTCACGCCGTTTCCACCAAGTCTCATCGATTTAAGATACGCTGCAACTTTGCCAAGCGGGTTGGCCACGATTTCGTTTCTAATGAATTCCTCGCGCGTTTTCCCTGCTCTCGGGAAACGCTGCGCGAATCGAGGAACTCGGTTGGCGAGTTTGATCGATGGCGTTTCGTTTTGAGATCGGCTCACCAGGTGACGAACAGTCGACGACGAGATGAAAAATTGTCGTTGCGAAGCTACGTGCGCTGCCACGAAATCGAGATCGAGTTTTTTACTGCCCATATTTTTATGCAATCAGGTCACTTTCCACGATGGCGATCCTTTATGCTCGCGATTGTATGATAATGTTCGCGATAATTTTATGAAGCGAGATTATTGCATGCATGTACGTGTAATATTCTTTATTTACAAATTCGATAATTCGTTGCTGGGTAATTGAATAATTAGAAATTTGTTCGTTAAAATTCCATCGTGATAATTCCATGAAATTATGGAGTAAAAAATTTTTTTTAAATATATAAATAAAATAGATGGTATTGTAATTGTAATTATCGATATACTAACGACGATATCTATTATTGTCCTTTTATATATTGATTATCAGGAAATCAATGAAAAATAGTCGTCGTT